GTGTGTGTGTGTGTGTGTGTGTGTGTGTGTGTGTGTGTGTGTGTGTGTGTGTGTGTGTGTGTGTGTGTGTGTGTGTGTGTATGTGTGTATAATGAGATATGTATGCTCATTATGTTATAACTATACAGTATAATTATATAATATAACATATTCATGTTTAAATTTTACAATAATAGGAGATTAGAATGGGATAATTACGAAGCTACATTGATAAGAAGAAAAGTGATCGAGGTTAAAGAGATTGGCAACGAAATTCGTGAAATATTAGAAATCTCTGATCGTGTTGTACATCTTGAATTTAGCTTTAATCATTTAGTTGTTATCACACCCGCGCAATGCCACGTTTACAATGTGACGAATTGGAATACACCAGCGATATTTAATTTAAAGAGCAGTAACATCTCTGCTGTACTTCTTGCAGAAAAGTAAGTTGACAAATGTATTTAATATAATATATAATATTATTTCATCTGCGGCAGTCTTTCAAAGAGAGGTTTTTAAGTTCACAATACTTTCATATATGCGCGGCTCTCGCGGAAAAAAGTGAATACTATTTAAAAACGCGAGCTTTGTTTATAAAAAAACACAGAGAATAAATTATAACAGACAATAAAGTTTCATTCATGTTTGATGACAGATCTTATGCGATTCTCTTGTTAATTTTTTCAGTATAAAATAGAAGTCGATGCTCTACTAAATTATCGATATATCCGACGATATATAGGAAGATGAACGAATGAATTTCTCAAATGCAGCAATATAATTATTGATTAATTACATATAATAAAATTTTAATTAATTAGAAGTTGATTTTTATTTATAATAAAAATTTTATTTTATTATCTCTTTCGTAATATTTTTGTAATATTCGAATTCATAATATTAGGATGATACATTGATATACTAAACTTTCATTTAAATAAAACATTTTATAAAAAATAATTTATGTATATAATTCTCATACTGACTTATCAAATAAATGTTAATATATATTACTTTTTTGATAGCGTCACGCGTTACTTTGGATTTAAAGTTCGTTATACTTAAAAAAAATAATTAATTATTTTATATCGCTTATCGCTTATATGTAAACTTTCAAAATTTATATCAAAACTTTTTTCTTTTTTAAAATGTCCTCTATTGATATAGAAATAACAAAACTTGATTTTTTTTATAATGCTTTAATTTAATTAAACTTAACTTGTTTCTGTTTCGAAAATTATCTTAAAATTGTCTTTATTTGGAAAATTATTGAAGCGATGATAGAATTTAAAAGCAACTTTTGATCCGACTTTTGCATTAATATCTATTGAATCCCTTTTATCATTATGAGTTGGACTTTGCTTTACGTTAATTATTTGAAAAGTTATGTCGAATCCGTATGTGTTTAAATTTGCATTCATATTTATGTCTGATTTTATACCAATGCATGTTTATACCGAGCAATGCTCTATACAATGCTCCAATTATTAATTGTCTAATTGATTCAACTGAATTATTGGAACTTTTGGTCATATCTTGTATATTTATAATGTAATTAACAATACAATTTTTTAGGCACTTCTTAATTGTGGAATGGAATACTGTATCCTTGTACAGTTACCAAGGCCGTTTATTAGGTAGTCCAAGATGGAAAGGATTTTCTACGGAACCACTTTATCCTCCTTGTATATCGTTATGCTCTGATACTTTGGCCATAAGAAATCAAAGCAATGAAAAATGTAAGATAAACATGTAAAATGTTTATTTTCATGCTACTATTTCTCTTTTATTATTATTATTTTATATTTTGACCATATTTCTTATCCTTTCTCTTCTCTGTCTTTACAAATTCTTTAATCTCTTGTTTTCATTTTTCTCTCTCTCTATATGCCAGATTATCTTTATCTTTAATTTTATTTTCTAATTCTTTGAGCATTTTTTATTTTTCATAATTTTTTTTCTTATATTCCACAATGTTTAATCTAATTAAAATTGCTTTTCCTATTTTGCTCTTATTTTTTTACATTCTATGTCTTTGCATTCATTCTTGTATCTCTTAATATCTTATCTACTTTTTTTCTTTTATTTCTATACTCAATTTCTATACTTGTATCTTTTATTATTTATATTATTTTCTTTTTCTTTCTTCCCCCAAAACCTCTCATTTTTTTTCTAATTTATCTTCAACAAAATCTTTGCTAATAGTTTTTAATTTTTGAATATAAATTATTATTAAGTCAATTGGGATATCTATTTTGTACATAGGATTACCTTGAATTTTCCCAAATTTCTATATTAATTTATTGTGTTGAGAAATATTTTTAATTCTCGATGTTTTCTCCATCTTATAACTTAATATTGATCTTAATATTGATCATATAACATTAAAATTTTTATAAAAGTATATTGATCATATAACAGTAAAATTTTATATATACATCAATGCAAATGCAGTAACGTATTTTTTATTATAATAAAATATGTAAATAATTTTCTTTTAAATTAAATATTTTTAAAAATATCTGTATAATATTATTAATTGTTATTAACTCCTGTCTTTGTGCAAACTTAATATTCCTATTAATAATATTTTTTCTTTTTAATATTGTGAAAGAAATTAATATTAACAAATGCGATATTCTTGACAAATCTTAATTATTTATTGATTGTTTATTTTGTTTAGTGCTTCATATCTTAGAAATACCTTATAACAAGCCAATAGTGGAAAGCCAGTCATATTCACATTTGCACAACATAATACAAGTAGCATTAAATTATATTGGTAATATAAAAGAGCGGCAATTGGCATTAATAGATGTCAATAAAGATTTATTTTTAGTTGCAATAAAAACTACAGGCTTTGGAAGAATATGCAAAATTGGTATGTAAATTATACAATAAAAATTAAAAATATATAATTACTAAAATTAAAAATTTATAGATATTTTTATCTAATTAATTATATATTTTAGCTTCAATGGCACAAAACATTGCATGGGCAACCGATGCAAATGTATTAGCTGCAATGTTAGATGCAAATCTGTCAGTATGGCTGTGTCCTAATTGTGTTCATTATAGTGATCGTAAAGTAATACGGCGAACAAGAATTGATAAGGAAAGCAGGTATGTTTATAAATAAATAATATGTTTTACGATATAAGCAATTGTTTCAAATTTATAAATATAAATTTATCAAAAAAGAATTATTAGACACCTAACATTTTGTCTGCCGAGCAATACTATTTATTATTCTGTTGTTTGAAGTTTATCTCAGCTTACTACATTGATTATTTATTTGATATATTTTTATCATATAAAAAATTTTTATATAACAGTTATAATATAAAAAATATTATTTGACTGCAAATGATTGATTATGCACTTGCATGAATTTTATATTCATTTATTTTTAATTTAATTTTCATCTCTTTCACTATCTTAATGAATTTTATTTTAATAATTCATAAATATCCTTATGATGCAGTGAATTTGGAAAACAGCCTAATATCGTGAGGGTTCGTAATGGTATGGTTATGGTAAGACGTGGAGATGGTGCTATTGTGGCTTCATCTTTTTATAATCTTTTTACGACTTTCTATGAACACATATCAAACAAGAGACTGAAAGAAGCACTTTCTCTTTGTCGTGTAGCTCAGGTAATATTCAAAACGTAAGGTAAAATATCTTTTTATGTTATAATCATGTTTATACACAGTGATTTATCTAACTTAGTGATCTGAATTTATTCGCAAACTTTTTGTTGTATAAAGGAACTTCCAAATAAGAGTTATGTAGTATTAAGGACAATATACATATAATAATTTTTCTATTATATCTTTTTATATATTAAAGATTATTTTGAATTTTTTGAATTTTTTAAATAAAATACTTTAAATCTTTTTATAAAAATTAAAGAAACATCAAATCTTAAATAAAAAATATTAAAACGTATTAGATTTTAAAATTAAAGTTACTGTAATATTTACAATAAAAAAGCATTTAATTTTTCTTATCTTTGGTCAGTTATAATCAGTTATAATCTCAAGAAAACGTTGAATTTGTTTTTAAAACATATTATTTTATATTGTTAAAAGAATGAAATATTATGGACTTGTATGGCTGTTTTGGCAACTGATAATAGAGAATTGCATGCTGCAGAAGAAGCTTATGCAGCTATTTCTAGATTTGATAAAGTAGATTATATTAAATATATCAAGGTAATTAAATTATATATTCATATATTATTTATATTTATTTATCAAATTTATTAAAATAATCTTCAAATAACTAGATTTATGTATAATGTTTGCAGAATTTGCCTTCTGCTATACAAAGGAATGCAGAAATGGCATTATTAGCAGGGGATTTGACAACGGCGGAAGGTATACTGTTACAAAGTGGTTTAATTAAAGAAGCTATACATATTAACATTCAGATTTATAATTGGAATAGGTATTTTAAAAAATTACTATTTACTTACGTTTTTCTGCTTTTTTGTGATTATTAAGCATTTAATTTATAAAAATCTATTTATATTTTTTATAATTAGAGCTTTAGAATTAGCAATAAAGCATAAACAGCAACTTGAAGAGGTTCTAAACAAAAGAGCTCAATATTTACAGACCATTGATAAAAGTGAGACTAATCATAATTTTCTTTCATTTATGGCAAATGTTTCATTATCACAATTGAATCAAGTAAGTTAATTTCTAACTAAATATTTTATACAATTATTTTTTATTACTAAAATATGTTTCTATTTTAGATGAATGATGAAACAAAGATTAATATTAAAAGTAATACTAAATAAATCAATTTGGAACAAACCAGGCATACAAAGTTTTAGAATATATAAAATCTGAAAACACAAAAGTAATTAATTTATGGTTTTATTTATTATAAATAGAAAATAAAACAGAAAAAAGAGAAAAGAAAGGAGAAACAGAAAAAAGAAAGAAATATAATGAAAAAAATTAAAGCAAAGAAAGAAGTAAAAACATAAAAGTAGAAATAGATGGAAAGGAAACATAAATTAATATGTTTACTATATCTTTTTTGTCTTAACGAAAGAATCCAACAATGTAATTTAATTAAATCGAATTTATGAACTCAAGTCATAAATGAATTCAATTGCAACATTCTTAGTTATAAAATTTATATTATGCATACAATAATCTTATTGTTATTATCATTATTATTATTATTTTTATATTAAACATATAAAAATCTATACTGCATTTATTTGATGATCAATGTTATAGTGTATAAAAAGAAAAAAGATCTATATTTTGATTTTTTTATATTTTGTTTTTTATCAGAAGTTTTATTAATTATAAAAAAATTTTAAATTTAAATTTCTAGCATAAATGATATAAAATAGTATTATTATATAAAATATAATCATATAAAATAGTATTATAATATAATAATATATAATAAAATTAATATATTAATATATTAATATATAATAAAATAATATTATAATATAATACTATTTTATTTGTTTATTAAAAGTTGTATTTTTATCTTTTATATATTATGACAATTTGAAAAAAAGTTATGTAAATATTATAAAAATAATTTTTCTACTCTATTTTATGATAATGATACAAAAATTTATAATATATATTTGTAGCCTATAGAGCTAAGCATTAGACCCGATGAAATGAATATTTTTCATCGTTTATTTAATTTCATTAACTTTAATTTTTTTAAGCTTCCTTCCTTTTCATTTTTTATTTATTTTTCATTTTTTATTTTTTAATAACTTCAATTCTTTTATTTTGAGTTTTAATTTATTTAGACTAACTTTTGGCAGCAGTTGGGAATCTTTTTTTTCTAAAACAACATTTTTTATAAATTAATTTTTTTATTTAATTATTATTGTTATTCTTATTTGTTAGCTATCTAGAATTAACTATCTAGCTTAATGTCTATTGTGCTACACGCGCCTTTCGTAATATCAAAAACCTGAGAGGCTGATAGTGGAAAGTAAGGTAGGAAAGGGAAAAAACGATTGAAGGAGGATGAAGAAAAAGGAGAGAAGGAAAATGTAAAAAGATTTATAATCGCGGTTAAATTAAATTTAATTAAGGGCTTACTGATTGTTGACCAAAGAGTTTGACGTGAAGAAAATTCTCGTCTCCCTCCCAGAAGGTCATCGTTGATTGAGATTGATAGGTTTTACTGACTCTAAGTTAAATAATGTCAAAAAAGTATTGAAAAAGATAGACTGGAAATGAAATGTATGAATGGATGAATGAATGACACGACATGTGATGAAGAGTTGATGAAAAATGCTCTGACGCGACCCGGAAGAAGCTCCATTTATATAGGATGATCAGGATCTGATTCTTTGTGCAGGAGGAATGACAGTAGCATGAGATCCTGATTGCAGAGCAGTGTTGTTTACATTAGATATCATTGGTTGTTCGTGTCTGACATATGCTGTGTGCAACATTCGGACTTGCAACAGATCCCATTTGAGAATAAAGAAAAAAATTCTTTATGTATATAATACAAAAAAAATATTATTATAATGTATTATAATGTATAATTATTATTATAATGTATGCATTAGTAGTCGGAGCGGCTATAAATCTTTCTCCTGCTTCTTGAAATGCATATATATTAATTTTCGCAATAATATCATACTAATAGAAGAAAGGAA